TGCATTATTTTCTATTATTTGGATAAAAATATAGTATATGATTTGGAATAATCTAGATATTTTTTTATACTTTTTTCTCAATATTTTCTAACTAATTTTTTTCAAAGAGCATTGCTAGAAAAGTTAGGAAATTGATCTTATCTATAGGAAAAAAATTAGTTAAAAGCATTCATTACTCTTTTTTTCTAACAAATAACACAAGTTGAAATTCATCCAAAAAGTTAGATGTGGTTATAATAAATCTTATGCATTATAGAAAAGATTATCTTTTATAAATTCTTCTTATTGCATGGCGCTAACACCACGAAGAATGTGTCGACACTATACCCGTGTCGGATTTCCACCCCATTTTGCAATTCCTTCAATGGGAAAATTGCAGATTTGGTCCCTCAGCTTTTATATCTCATAACTTAAGACTCAATCATTTAGATCCCAACAGGAACTATTGTTCTGGTAATTAGTCCCTTAACTTTAAAAAAATATTTAATTAATCACAAAACTCTAATTATTATGCATTGAAATCCTTTTCTACCTAGAGAATGAAAACTTTTTACATTTTTTAATAATGATCATTTTTAGTTATATAAAGATTTTTTTTTTTTATCTTTTTGATGAATTGATATGTTTATTAATAAGGTTATTTTTTTTTCTTTTATTTGGGAAAAAATGTAGTATATGATTTCAAGTACTTCATATATTTTTGATACTTTTTTTTTCAATTTCGAACTAAGTTTTTGTTTTTTCCTAGCGCATTGTTAAAAAAGGGAAAATTGATCTTATGAACATGGAAACATTAGTCAAAAGCATTAATTAAATAGTAGTAAATTTATTATTAATTTTTGGTAGTGAAGGTATTCTTACAATTGTAAAAATCATAAGTATAAGTTAGTGTTATACCCATAATTATATGTGATTGAAGGTATATCTATTGTGTATACTTACGATTTTTTATATCTATAAGTAAATATTAAATTCATATACTCACAAATTACATACTGTAACTAATAGTTCTTTTATATACCTACACCAATTGAAATTGCGTAAGTATAATATAATTTTTCTTATGGTTTTTTTGTGGATGTAGCTATAACTTATCCATATACCCACAAATTATAGATCATAACTAATAGAACTCTATACCTATAAAATAGTGAGCGTAGGTTAAAAAAAACATAGCTAAATGGCAAAAATGCTGTAGTGATTCCAACCAAAAATAAGATAGGCACAATTTTATTAAACATAGACCTCTCAAGCACCAATCAAAATAAATTGTAATCTTAAGATGACTTTATATAAATATCCTATAAATATTTCAAAAATAAACATAAAAAGATAAATTATTTTCTCCACTTTCTCTCTATTGTAATTTCTCTCTACTTTTAATCATTAAAGTTCTTAGTTCCCTACATGCTTTCCTATTTTTAGTGTTAACAGTGTGAAAATGGAGGACATGCATGTGCTAGAAGGATGCTTTTTTTATACATATAAAAAAAGGACCGTATTTAGTTTATATAAGAAGAAGAAGCGAAAAAGTAAAAAATGAAGACGACTTCACAAGGGAGATAGAATAAAAAACAAAAAAGATCACATGGGCTGGTGTCATATAAAGACTAGCTGCTGTGAAAACGGAGGGCATAAATACAATCATCACAAGAACTCCTTTTGATCATATTTTGCCAAAGTGCCTTAAGCCTGATTATAGGGTTTTTCTTTGAAAATCATGGATCAAAGATTGTTCAAATTGTTCGAGGCTGCAACAATGGGAGATGTTGCAAAATTAAAGGCTTTGCAGGATGAGGATAAATTAAGTTATTCTCAGGAGAGTGTCTTTGTAGTCCACATCAGAAACACCACTTCATGTTGCTTCACTTACCGGCCATGTTGATTTTGTGAGAGAGATCATGAATCAGGTGCCTTCATTTGCGCAAGAGCTTAACAAAGATGGTTTTGCCCCAATTCACCTGGCAACGGCTGCAGGGCACTTAGAAGTAGTGAGAGAGCTTTTGAACAAGGGGGATTCCGACCTGTGTTTGTTGAAGGACAAAGCAGGGAGAACGCCAGTCAAACATGCGCAGCCACGAAAGGGAGGATCCATATCATAAATGAGCTGCTATCAAAGTGTCCTCATCAAAAAGCCATGGAGCAAGTGACTCTTAACGGTGAAACTGTTTCACACTTGATGGTGAAGAACAGTCAATATTTGAAGCATTCAAAGTCCTGTTTCAAGCATCAAAAAAGCTAGAGGATCATGAGGGGCGAGTAAATGCAAAAGATAATGAAGGTAAACAGTTCTTGAGATTGCAAATGTCGCAAATCAACTTTAGGTATCAATATCATTCGCTACATTTCTCTTTATTAATTCAATTATTAATTTCTTTAGTGCAATTTCTATTTTTTGGATATTGCCATATTGAATTCAAAGAATGATACAAGTACATTAAGGTAAAAATTAATGTAAAAATTTTGGATAGTTAATTTCATAGCTAGGAGGACTGATCTTGTTTAATTAGTTTGCATATATTGATTTGATTAGAGAAATTAACCACATAATATTCTATCATCAGTATCTTTTTACAAACTGTAGATGTGTTTTTTCGAGCATAGGGTATTATATATATATATATATATATTCATAGGCATAACATGAAGGCTTCTCTATACTATATTCCAGATTTTGTAACAATCTTCATTTAGATTTTTTTACGACCTTACAAAAAAAAAATAAAAATGTGACACCATTGCAGGTGTTAGATTTAATTCGACACCAAAGTGGAGACCAGATTATTATTGTAGAGAAGGGGACACAACTCGATATCAGAAAGTAGAGGACAAGCATCTTGATCTGAAATCAAAACATGTGTGTATAATTATAAAAGATATCATTAAGGAGAGTTGGAGTATGTACTTAAAGGATAAGGACTTGCTCCCCGTTATGGCCGCAATAATACTATATATTCCAGCTTTTTTTTTTTTTTTTGTTTTTTTCTTTTGCCAAAATAGCAAGAGTCACGGTTACGCTCATACAAATAAATATTAAGGTGCGATGAAAAGATTATAATTATATTGGTTAGGAGACTGGCCCAACAATAACAATGAAGCCCAAAAGATGTAGAATCCAAAACTACGGCATAATAACCGTGGTGCACCCACGTGATTGCAGACAAGTGTACCAATGGAATGATGACACCTAGTAGGATTATCAAGAGTCAAGAGCCTATAAATATCATTAACTACTTCCACACAAGTTAATAATTTTACTATGTTTCTTTTTTTGCAATTACTTTTCTTGAAACTTTCTCTTTTTAAATTATAGAATATTGCTAACTTCAGCATTAAAGTATTTTCCCCGAAGAAATATGCTCGGGTTTTTCAAATGTTGAAGTATATTGTGATATCAAAAGCTGCGCGAACAATATTTAGTTTACCTAATTTTTTTTTAGCAATGATTTTAGTGGTTTATAAATATTTATTATGCTTGAAAATACAGGTTAAGGGTGTAATAAATATATATTTTTTGTAATTAAATCAAATTAAAAAATGTAAAAGTTGACATATATTTTAACATTACTAACATGTAGATAATTTGAATTAGTTAATTGATTAAATTAAAGTCGATATTTATATTTTTAATAAAAATTGATTATGAAAAAGTGTAATTTATTGTACCCTTATCTTGTGCAAATTCTTGAAAATATCAATCTATAATTTGTTAAGTAACAGTAAATATTAATTGTTCAACTTTATCAACTATTAACTAACAATTATAATTATTAATTGACTCTTATAGCTCAAACCAAATATAATTATAAAATTATAATATTTTAGTGTGGCTACAACCATGTCCATATTGTAGTTTAGAAAAGATGTAAGGCAAAATCTTATGTGAAGCCCTTGAACTTATCCTTGATTTTCAATTAAGTTTTAAATTTTTATTAAATTAAATAAATCCTTAAACTTATCGATATGAGCAATTTAACCTTCTTTCTTATAGCAGATTTAACACTCATTTGTATTTTACTTACATTGACAAAGTCAATATAAACCCCAATGGGATGGTTTCAATGGTTAAGAACTTGAGATTTCAAGTTAGAAATTTTAAGTTCGAACCTTCAGTTAGGCGGGGAGGGATATAGGGAAAAAGAGAGGGCTATCCTTCTTATATTGCCCATTCAAATTAAAAAAGAAAAAAAGAAAAAAAAGACAAGGTTAATACTCATCACATAGGCAATAACATATTAATATCTTGTCCACATTACTAATACCTTAATTACGCGAGTGATGCACAATTGATGTTAAATTTGCCATAACTAAGAGGGTTTAAATTACCTAAATTACCAAACTTAAAAGTTTATTTGTTTCAATAAAAATTTGAGGGCTTAATAAAAAATCTAAAATAAATTCAAGAGTTTAACCTAAGATTTTACCATGTAACAGCATTGTAGGTATAAGGTTTCTTCAAACAACAAAGTTGCCTTTATCATTTAGAGATTATTGTAGGGGACAACACTCAAGTTGATAAAAAGAAAAACTTGAATGGAACCAACAACTTAAATAATTCAGTAATAATTTTTTTTTATTGAAATAATAGATTTTAAATTCAAATTACATAATATGTGGATAAAATAAATTAAGAAATATAAGAGAATTGCCCACCTGTTGTATAACAAAAAGAAAAAAAAAACCCCCTTGAATGGGAAGGAATATAAAAAGATCAACTAATAAAGAAATTTTGGAGTCACTACTTATACGTGGGTTGTTCATATCCATTTTAAATTGATTGATCCAACCTCAAAATTAAACCAAATTTGTTAAAACTATGTAAAATTAAATTAGTTTGGATTATAAAAATTTAAAATGATGTAATTAGTTTGATTTGTATTTTTACTTTTAAACAAACCAAACAAACCTACCATAAGATAACTTAATTAAACGAGGTCGATCAGTAAGAAAAAAAAAAGTAAAAATACCTGAAAAATGATTTAAATACCATTAGTGAATTATGCGTATATTGATTCATTATTTCAGTTGTTTTGTTTTCCCGTGGGTGCATCTCATGGGCTGGGCCGAGATGACCCAAAAAACCCAAACTTAACAGCAAATTAGTTATGATTT